GGGGAGACCGGGGCTAGTTGGCGGTTGGGGCAAGTTGGCGGATTGCGGTTTTTTTCGGCACTATATAACATGTGGCGCCACCTGTCTGAATATATATTAAGTGATGTGAAACGCATCTGCTGACGTAGATTCAGCAGATGAAAATTTGTTTTATACAAGTCATCATCGATTATCGTTTTTTGTGCACGGTGAGTAAATTTGTCTACCCACGAACTATTTGTGATAAAAGCTATTGGTTCGACCTATGGATCGCAGTCATTTTCATTTTCCGATAGTTAGTGGCATAGGTTAAAAGATTCTGTATAGATTTTTTTATAACATCAAAATAGTTTTTGCTACATAAACTTTAATGCGAAAAACACGGTCGGGGCTAGTTGGCGGGGTAAGGGACGGGGCAAGTTGGCGGATCATTTTTCTCGGAATTCATTGCTATTGAAAGTGATTATCGGTTTTTCGTGATTGCGTCATTATCTCCGATGTCGCTTTCGACGAATCGTTGAACTTTTAAGTTTCGCGATTAATTTTGATTATTTTTTGCAGTTCTGTATCTGAAACAATGAGGAATTATAAGAAAAAAAGTGACAAAGGAAAAACTTCTGAAGTGGTCATTAAACAGGCTGTCGAAGCTGTAACTTTAAAAAACAATACAATTGCGAAAACAGCAAAAGCTTACAACGTTCCTTTGCGGACTCTTGAGAGGTATTGCGCAAAAGCGAGGAAAAATAGTGAAGTCGCAGGAAAACCAATCTCTACAGAAGTTGTGCAAGAACTCCAGCCTGGTTACTTGAAAATTCGACGAGTTAGTTGATAATAGTTCTCATATAAATATTACACAAATTGTAACCACTTTTTATGAGTAATATTTTTGTTAGGTATTCGACGCTGAGAAAGAAAATCTTCTGGTTGCTTATGTGATGAAAGCTGCAGACATTTATTACGGACTATCGCCTAAAGAAATCCGTAAGCTGGCATTTCAATATGCACAAGTCGCAAACATTAAAATGCCGGAGTCTTGGAGCGATAAAAAGATGGCAGGTGCTGATTGGTTCACGTCTTTTCTAAAAAGACATTCCACGCTGTCCATCAGAACACCTGAAGCGACTAGTTTGGCTCGGACATCGAGTTTCAATCCAACGAACGTCGAGAAATTTTTTTATAATGTAAAAACAGTCCTGGAGCGAGAGAAATTTGAGGCGAGTGATATATGGAATGTAGACGAAACGGGAGTCACCACAGTACAAAAGCCTGATCGTGTTGTTGCTCGTCGAGGATTCAAGCAGATCGGCAAAATTACGTCTGCAGAAAGAGGCACTTTAGTGACCATAGCTGCTGCAGTTTCGGCGGCTGGCAACTCTATTCCTCCTTTTTTTATTTTTCCGAGAGTCAAATTCCGCGACCATTTTATACGTGATGCTCCAACTGGTAGCGCAGGAGATGCTAACCCGTCTGGGTGGATGAACGAAGACTCTTTCGTAAAGTACGCTCATCATTTTGTAAAGCACGCTAGACCTTCGACACAGCGACCCGTGCTTCTTCTTCTCGATAATCACGACTCACATTTGTCGGTAGAGGCTTTGGATTATTTCAAAGAGAATGGGGTCACTGTATTGTCCTTTCCTCCGCATTGCAGTCATAAGCTCCAGCCCTTGGACTGCAGCGTGTATGGTCCATTCAAAAAATACGTCAACTCTTTTTCTGACTCTTGGACAATGAGAAATCCCGGAAAAACAATGTCGATCTACGATATTCCGGGTATCGTCAACTGTGCTCTTCCTCTTGCTTGCACGCCTTCCAACATTCAAGCAGGATTTCGAGTTGCGGGAATTTGGCCCTTCAACGAGCACATTTTCACTTTAGCAGATTACCTACCAGGATACTCGACAGATCGACCAAACCCAAGTGAGAAGCAAGGAGAAAAAAATGATGGAACATCTAATGGAGAAAAAGCCACATCGCTAGACAACTCATGTTCATCTGTTTTGCCGGAAGAAGTGAGGCCACTCCCCAAAGCTGACAACAGAAAGACGGATGCGACAAAAAGAAAAGGCAGAAAACGTAGGCACACTGCGATTTTAACAGACTCTCCAGTAAAAGCAGCGTTAAGAGAAGAAAAACAGAAATTAATCGAAAAGCGCGCTGCATCGGCAGTTATAAAGGCTAGAAACGTTGTCGAAGCAGCAAAAAAGAAAGAAAAAACGGGTATTTCCACTGCCAAAAACTTCACCAAAAATGCAAAAAACGCGAAAAAATAAATTCGCTATGAGTTCTTGTGAAAATTAACGTAAATAAGTCTTATATGCAGCTACTTTCCATCTATCGACATGTTGTGCGCCAACCGCCAACTTGCCCCAGACATACCGCCAACTTACCCCGGGATCGGGGCAAGTTGGCGGTTTTTTTTTGTCATCTTGAAACACTTGTAAAACTTACAATAAATAAATGAATGTCATGACAAAATTTCCAAATGTAGCCAAAAGTGTACTTTTTCATTTTATGTATTGCAAACGACCAAAACATCATCTATCTGAACGTGAAAAATTCCAAACTAAAAACCCCGCCAACTAGCCCCGGTCTCCCCTA